TTCAGCTCCATACATTAGAAATGTCTAGACGTTCGTATTAAAGATTCTCACCTTGATATTGGTTAACAGTTGTTTTGAGTTCCATATGTTTTTCAATTGTAGAAATGCTGCCCTTGCTTTGCCAATCCTCGCCTTTACATCTGCATCCGATCCTCCTTGTTTATCAATGATGCTTCCCAGGTACGTGAATGTTTCCATCTCATCCAGAGTTTCTCCATCAAGTGTGACTGAATTAGTGTTCTCTGTGTTGTATTGGAGAATCTTGCTTTTTCCTTTGTGTATGTTTAGACCTATTGATGCAGAGGCTGCTGCTACATTTGCTGTCTTCATCTGTATTTGTTCGTGTGTATGAGAGAGGAGGGCTAGGTCATCTGCGAAGTACAAATCATCTTATTGATTCTAGGATGTCCATTGTATTCCGTATTTCCCCTCAGATGTCGAAGTCTTCATAATCCAGTCAATCACCAAAATAAAGAGAAAGGGGGAGAATAGACAACCTTGTCTGACTCCGATCCCTACTGGAAATGCATCTGTCAGCTGTCCTCCATGCACGACTTTGCACTGTAGTTCGTCGTATGAGTTCTGTAAAATGTTGAAAACCTTCTGAGGAACTCCATAGTGTCGAAGAAGTTTCCATAATTTTCTCCTGTCCACACTGTCAAACGTCTTCTCATAGTCAATGAAGTTGATCTATATTGACGAATTCCACTCAACTGATTGTTTAACGATGATCCGTAGTGTTGTAATTTGATCTGTGCATGGCCGATTCTTATGGAATCTGACATTTTGATCTCGAAGTTGGGGTTCTAATGAGTCTTTCATCCGGTTCAGCAGCACTCTGTTGAGAATCTTTCCTGCTAACGACAGTAGTGTTATGCCTCTGTAGTTCCCACATTTGCTCAGATCTCCTTTCTTTGGTATCCTGATGAGGTGTGCTTCTTTCCAGTCCGTTGGTGGCACTTGTTCTTCCTCTCAAATGTTCCTCAACAGAATGTTTGCAATTGCTTTCTATATCTGTCTTGATTGCTTCAGTTGGTATATTGTGAGGGCTTAGATGTACTACAAGCGGACTATTTTTTGTGTCATTAAGTCACACTGCAAATTTTCATAGAATTGGTGACTAGCCGTAGTAGTTAATCAATTTTTAAACGCAGGTTGAACGAATGACATGTCCAAGTTTATTTTTAGTAATGTCTAGAAATATGTTGCTGATTAGATTTCAAATTTATATTCGTGGTTTTACACACCGAAATCCTTTGATTAACTTGTAAACTGCTCATATTATCCCTCACTGTTGTTCTAATAGTCACATTGTCTTTCAATCTAAATGGTTTTTACTTTTTTGTGGTCTGGTGAAACAGTAAAATCTCTCTTAAGGTAGGTTAACCTTCCTATTATTGAGTATAATTTGATGTAACATTTAACGTATTGTTGCCTCGCATCTCATTTCGTTTTTACGTTTCTGTTATGCTAGTACTAATCGATATAAAACTTATTTAATGTGTTATTCTACAAATATCTTTACCTTAAAAACGGTTTGAAGTTCGAGTTCACTAATTCACAAGTTCAAACTTCAACCAACTAATAATTACGAGGTACCATGTGGGATTTCGAACGACAATAGGGAAGCTAAAAATTGCTGTTTTCTGCTTTGTAATTGTTTTTCACTGCAATGATTCACCATAGTGTTTGGCATATTTTCTTACTTGTCTACTATTCATAAGAAATAAGAAGCGACTACAAGTGAATTCATACAATAAAGACAGTGCCACTGAATAGGTATTTGTAAGCTTCTTGGATAGTTTCTAATGAGAATTATATGCTGCAATGGATAAAGCGATTAGTATCAGAATTATTATTACATTATAGTTACTACACTATTCAAATCTATCAAGCGGACTCATTACTTGAAAGCGATTAGTTTTATGAAACTAAATTCGTCAATGCCTAAATTGATTTTGAATTTAAACCAATCAAAGACTTTTAATGGGCTTAATCAGAAATGTAAGTTACTGAGTACCGAATCATCATAAAACTTATATAGGACGCTGTTTTTGGACAACTCGAAAAACTATATCAGGAGATAGATATTATTATACTGAAGATGCACTGTACAAACAGAAATAGAGTTTCTCAGTTCGGGGTTGATCTTTAATTCCATAGATTACACAATAATAGCCGAGTGGTTAAAACACATATTTTCCCTTAAGACTTCCCACGTTTAAACCCTGTCCAACCTATATCGTTTGAGGCAACAAAATAGTACCAAAACAAATCACAAAAATGAAGCTATAATTCAAAGTCGACCACACAACTCTGAAATCTATCATTGAAAAGCATCATATCATTTACGCCAACGAAACATTTACAAATGATAAAGATGAACAAGCATTTTGAGGCTGTCCAAAACGTTTTCATGCTCCGTAAGTGTAGTGAACTCAACGTTTTCAATCATTTTTCTGTTCATTCAATGACTCACAAAGTATTGCATGTTAGAGAGTAATTTTTATTAAAAATTTTATTCCAACCCTATATTTCACCAATATTTATGTCTTTTATCTTGTGTGTCTAAGTATGCTTTATTGGACTTAAGGATCACTCTAAATTACATACATATTAAGAGCAAGCTTTACATTTTTCATTGTTTCAATTAGGTGACATACAAATAAATGACTGAATTTTTATTATCAGTGTTAAAATTATAGCATGTACTTAATAAGTACATCTTAAACTCAAGTTCTGGAGATCTATTTCTCAATAACTTTGATTTAAAGAAATCAAAACTTCATACAAACTGATAGTGAATTGGTGAGGCGATGTCGGACAAATCACAGTGGATCTACATTTTTATTCATATTGTGATAATGAGCCAGTCAGCTACAAAGTAGGACCAGGCACACATATGCATCGGTCCAAGTTGCTATACCTCATTAGCACAACAAGATGTACACCGAATTCATAAAAGCAGTTAATGAAGTGGTGGTAATATATAAAAGAAAGGTTGTATATAAGGATATAATACAGAAAGACAGATATGAAGCAATTTTAATCTCAAGGTTTAAAGGAATATAAAGAGAGTATACACCTGCGCCGTTTTGATCGATTCTGAGCCATATCACACAGAGTCTCTAACCATTGGTTACGATAGTCACGCGAACCACAACCAATTAGTCTGCATCTACTAACATGGCTGAGACTAGAAGTTAGTGACTTCAAGCACTGATGTCACGTTCTGGTTTGGCCACCCCTAACTTTCTTCCAACTGTCTGCATCAGTAGTCAACATTGATCATCGTAGTAATCGGTGTTCAGGTATACGTAACACGTGACCCAACCATCTCAGTCAATGGAGATTCACAAACTCATCAACGGATTTACCATCATTCCCCCAGGACCTATCAGTCTCGCGCCAGAGCACTTAACCGACAGACCACTGAAACGGCCGGCATCCAACGGTTTTAATGTCTAACTTCAACCAATCCACGAAATTGAGCAACCATTCACCAATGTCTTCAGTGAGTTGATATCTCACTGGTCGCTGATTCTCACTAAAACTCTAGGAAATACCTCATGGATCCAGCTACTAGTGAGCATATGTTGATTATTATCAGAAGGGTCCTGGGTCGGAATCTCGTGAGGTGGGATCGGGGATGCGCACTGCTGAGGAGTTCCACAACAGGACGAAACGGCCATCCATTGCTTCCAGGTTTTCCATTGTGATCTATCTTCAATTAATTCATGATCTCAACTATCAAAATTACTTATAAAAATTATTGAATATATAAAGAAATCGTACACCTATATATTTTCCATTTCCTTACTTTTATATTGATTACTAAATTAGTTACTACCTAATTTCATATAAAGATTGAAAGAGAATAATTTAATCCGGTGAAAAAAAGTTCCTTAATACATGTGTATATTATGTAGGTCAATTAATAAATTGGCCAAATCGGAAAAATATTGTACTAAATAATGGAAATATAATACATAATCAATAATTATTAGTTATATATATATTTTTAATTATCAATATACTAATATGATGACCATCGAAATTTCTTCTCTCTTATTATGAACTAGATTCAAAATGTAATGAATCAGTTTAAGCTAGAACACCATGGAAAATCTGGAAGCAATGGACGGTTGTTTCATCTTCAGATGGGACTCCTTACTAGTGCGTATTCATGAACCTGTACGCTGGATTCAAACCTAGAGCTTACGAACGTTTAATCTATAAACCACTAAGTTGGCATCCAATGGTGTTAATGTCTCATTTCAACCAATCCATGATATTACGTGACCGTCCAACATTGTCTTCAGTGAATAACTGTTTCACAGAAGATACAGTTCTACTCCATTAGTTATATTCAGCGTTTCTAGGTTTTCTAGGGTGGTCTAGCTTGAATTGACTCATGAATTCAATAATTAAATTACCACAATTTTCCTAAACTCTCATTCTGAAAGATTTCTAACTGGAAGACGTTTCCTTAAAAAGTTAATGAAGTTAGATATTTGACTGACTGTGGAATCCAGGACGCACGTTTCGTCCTATTTGGATTCCACTGCTAGCCACTTACAATGCTTGTGAATTTAGGCCATATCGAGGCAATACACACAGTATGTACATATGCCAATTAGAGACTGACCAGTTGCAGTCCTAACACATCGATGGGAAGATTCAAACAAACAATACTAAATGAATTTATCCCCAATTATTATTCTTAATAAGTTTCAATAAGTCAACACATCAAGGACTGAGACATCAAGACTTATGATCCATTCACATAATTTTTATTTCATCTGAAGTTTCATTGTTTGTTTACAAAAAACACGTATAAGATTGAAACTGATACCATCACGACTTGTGGAGAACATGATAACATCCAACTACTTCCTAAATACTCAAGATATGTACAAGTATAATGGTTTAATAGAATAACGAATAGATTATTTAAATCAAAACAATAGATGACACAAATGAAGCTTATAAGTGCTCACCTCAAATCTTTTTTTTTGCTTTCCGTTGGCTCCTAAAGTAAGTATTTAATCTATTCAACAGTTCAGAAACTTTGCTATTTGACTTCTAGTATTACTTAATCTAAAATGAAAATGAATACCCTGTTTATGACTGGAAATAATGATCAAATTATTTTGTGAATTAATCAAAGACTTAAAATTAGATCTACTGAATTCCCAAAACATTTTATTCACTTTTAACATGAAAGTTATATCACGAAAAAAATGAAAGCATCGAGCAATGTTGGTACAAATATCCAGGGAATTTTTCTGGCAATCATTCATATTTTTCTCTCTGAAGTCATTGTCTACTTATTAGTAGTGCGTCATTTTTTTCAGACGTTTTATTGATGAACTGAAGTTTTTGGATATTTAGCCTGTTTATCAAATTGTATGTGTTCATCATTTACTTGCAACGTGAAACAGTTTTAGTAGACAACTGAATAATTTCAACGGACACAAACTAGTTAAGTTTGGACTATAATAATCTGGCTACATAGAAACACCTGAAATGAAGCACTATTTTAGATAATGACCTGTCATCGGCTTTTAGAGCAAATATTTCATCTCAGCTTTTGGGTATACTCTTAACATAAGTGCCAATAATCCTATCAAAATTCTATTTGAATACCAAAAACCCAATGCCAGAAATCCAAACCATTTGGGATCATCTCAGCAGTCTAAAGGTAATAAACTTGATGCAGGTGGTGGACGTCTTGTGCTCGAACTCTGATGGGATGATGATTGTGCAGTACTGAATATTTCATTATTAGGATGAATCAGCTGTTCAATGCATCCCCTCGTTTTCCAGTTAAATTTAGTCCGCAACAGAATCTACGAATGTTTACATTCAGTAATGTATCAACAACGGTTAAGGGACAACGCTTGAAATTAATAATTGGCTTGTATGTTTTAAAGGTTTGATCAAAACAATCGTGAAGTTTAGTTCACATCTTATTTTCCACAGGAAAAAAACTTTCAAGGGCGATTTCCTTTTGGAACCGATATCAACTGAAAGACTGTTGAAGTTTACTAAGCACGGGATAGCTGTATTATCCTAATTTAAAACTTAATTTACCCGCCGTCAACTTAGTAACGTCACATTACATGGTAATCATTATACTATTCAGTAAATGCGTTTGAAAATATTATGTACAGCTTACGCTGTTGTGCAAGAAATCATGGATTTTTCTTATGATATAGATCCATATGGATGTTTACGTATTTCTGATTGGTGACCTCATCTAAAACAATCAAGTTTATGGGACTTTCAATCAAATAAGGAAATATACTTCCAGAAATCCATATTAATACGACTGTTCATACTATACTTAATAATCTCATGACCTTCATCATATGATCATATACATCGCTATGAATTAAGTAAAATTAGATTTTAAAATGTTTCGAATCCAACTTGACGCACATACGTGTCCACGACCTCCGTTCAATATTCAATGTGCAGTGTTGAGGAGAAAAACAATATAAAAGAAGTAAAATGATAATTATCTTATTTGAAGGGACTAACCTTAAACGACGTATTACTGATTGATTTAATTAGACCATTATTGTGCAATCTCAGATATATACACTAAACACATGAAGATGCATGTTTACATCTTGAAGTTCCATAACCACACTTCAGATGTTTCTCTATGCTGGGGATCGCGTTTTTCACCTGAATTTTGCTTGTGCGTTTTATTGTTTAAGTATATAAATTTAGCTGACCGTTGTAATGATGGTGAGATATATACAGAACTTTTCGCATGTTTTCACATTGGTTCAATGACATGATTTAGTCTAGAAATCATGTTCACAAAACCATTTCAGTATTAGTACTCTCGCTATCAACTTAGATGAATTCCACAGCTTCCCGTGGATTTCAGACATGTTAAGAGTGAGACTTTCTTCCCCGATGATGTTGAATGATCGTTGCATTATATATCAACTCAACAGTCTAAATGTTAAGCATGTGTAATGAGACCTGAATATCTCTCGTTCGATGTTTAGGAGAGACGTGGAAAATCGATGCTAGGGAGTCCATTATTAGGACACAACAACTGTCCAATGCTCCTAATTCTCACTAGCACCCCAACTGGGACGAATCTTTGTCGAATGTCTTTTACAACTAAGAGTACATTCGTTTCTCAATGTCTAAGTCGATATCGATGTATCTCTGAGTAATTAATTATTTGAAAATAATCTTTCTTTATTTAGATTAATACATTGTTTTATGAAATAATGGCGGATTATAGGCGGATTATTTCGATTGTTACTGATTACTTAACACCTAAAAATTCAAAGTGCTCTACTTGTAATCGATTTACTTTAATTAATGGTTACAACAAATGTGATGATAAGAATTAAATTACATCTATAAACATGAAACACATGATCTTCATTGTAGCCATGTCATTGATTAATGTAGAAAAAGCATTTTCAGAAAGAATTGTTCATAAAATTTATGAGTGATTCTGATAGGATAAATACTACTAAAATAACCACTACTACTCACCCTAATACTACTCATACTACAACTACTCTTATTACTACTATTGGTACGATGAAAAATAGTAGTGTGGTGTGAGCTACTTATATCGACATAAGTAGTATATATGGTAAGTAAGGAATAGAATATCTTACAGCAGAAGATTGAGAAGATCAAGAAGAGAAGAACAGAAATAAAAAGCAGTTTGTGTGGAAATCCAGCAACAATGAAGCTTGAGGCAATTGAAGTACATTTTACAAATAGAGTATAAATAAATAAAATGAATTCCAACTGAAATCTTGTTATGAGTAAGACAGTATTAAAGGAATTGATCATTTCTAAGAATATAATCTTTACAGTGAAGATTAACTCAGGATGACGAGGAGGAAGACAAAGAATCAATACAAACTTTAAATTAAGGATTACAGTGCTACTTTTTTCGACAGTAGAGTCTAGCTTAAGACTATTAATGCTGACTGGAATTTTATCGTAATTGAATTCAATAAAATATCAAACAATAATCATGGTATTATGTAACTTATATTACAAACTGATTTCAGCGAAATAACCACTGGAAATTAGAGAGCATTGGATAACTATTTTGTTTTAGTAAAGAAATGTGAAACACAGATTGATCATACTACAATGTTCCGAACGCAATACCTTTATGTTTGGCATCTAGTGTATTACCTCCAGGCTAACGAAATGAAACCTTAATGACCCATGTTACTGGCTTCAATTTATTCATAATTATGAGCGATCAAACTATACGTTCAATGTTCTATAGGATGTACATTTCGATTCTGTGACAACCTATGCTCTGTTTCAGCTGTAATCATCATTTATAATCACTAAGACTAATTAATATAACTTGCAGCCCACTGCTTTGCCTCTGGATAATCCGACAGAAAGGTAGTATTATGCGAGCAATCGAGAATAAACAGCATGAAATTAATTACTAACCAATCAAACCTGCTAGTATTTATTAGTAACATGTCCGACTGACCATGAATGTAAGTGAACTAAAAGTAAATTTTTAAGGAAGGATGAAATTACTCAAGATTTTCATAGTTACTAATTGATTAGTTCTAAGAAGAACAAAATCTCGATCGGAATTATCCGTTTTCATCAATCACTTAAGTATCTCTTCTAAGAGTTTTCTTCTTGATGGACTTAGAAAATAGATTTAATAGATTTTCATAGTACTGTTACACAAACAAACAGACATGACGCAGAAAACCTGTAATTAACCACATAATAATAAACAACTGTTTCATAGTATATCAACTTTTCTTAACAATATGCATCGACAAGAAAACAAATATTATTGGCGGCCTGTTTAAGCATCTGGGCTACATGTTCTTGTCATCTAGATATTTCAACAAGTTATCTAATTTTGTTTGTTTTAATACATCATTATGGATATTAATCGCACAACCTATTCAGGTGCGTTTCTGAAAAGTATAAGACCTTTCGCTGTAAAGGTTACGAAAGGCCTAATCAGTGATATCGTGGTTGCTGGCAATATGCAGCAAGAAGAATATACATTATCCAAGTGTCGATTGACTGGGCTGCTAACTTCTAACTGGCGATCACTCAATATTTATCGTCAGAAAGGACGAAGAAGTAAGAAACGGAAACTTGTTGAAGTACTTTGTGCTGAGAATTCTATATTGTACAAAAAATATAATATTGAATAAAGCTAATAATAATAAAGAAATAATAAATAAATAAATAAACATCAAATCCCCATAATCTTTCGATACCATAGTAATTACAAAACCAGTCAAAATCCATTGAAATACAGATATTTAACTTGATTCAGTTAATCATATACCATAAATTTATATAGTTGAAATCATGAGTCAATTAAAGCTAGACCATCATGGAAAACCTGATTGAAGTTATACGTTAACACTGTTGGATGTCAGCCGGCAAGTTCAGTGGTCTAGTGGTTAAGCGTTCACGCACGAGAATGATAGGTCCTGGTTTCAAATCTCGTGAGATGGGATCTTGAATGCGCACTGCTGAGGAGTTCCACAATATGACGAAACAACCATCCAGTGCTTCCAGGTTTTTCATGACAGTTTAACTTCAATTAACTCATGATCTCAACTATATCTCCACAAAAACCCCCTTCCGACATACCATAATCTTTATTCAGTGAAATCAGTTGAATAAACTATACAAGTTATATAACTTTGGTGGTAATGTTGAATAATTTAATCATAGATTTGTGCATAAATCAATAGATCAAAAGAAGAACAAACTTAAATCATTACGTAAGAACAATAAAAATGAAACCAACTGTTTGACGATTTCACTTACTGAATGATTATTAATATGAAAGACGGAAATGATTTATTGTTTGATTGATTGAATGGATAATGGTTTACATGAGTACTTTATATTTATACATATTCAAGAATGATAGAAATGGGTGTATATATATTCTCAAATGTATAGACATTATAGATCAATGAATTGTCATATCATATTATCATTCTTCAATACTCTTTTGTATAATGTATATGTTTGTATCTATGTGGAATAAGATGGTTGTATACCAATGGTTTTATTATTGAATACTTACATATACATATGTAATAACTATCATTAACTACTATTTTATAGTTATGTCTGTATTTATGTGTAGTTGTTTACATGGATACTCATTATTGAGACTAGGACTAGTTGAAGACAGACTTACAATTATAATGTTATGAACAAAAAGAATACAAGTGAGGACAACCAATGTATTTTAATAATGAAATTCTAGAGAGTATCTTGATAAAATATAAGAACCACACACAGAGTACTTCTATTATTTGTCTTTTATATTCTGTATGATACAACAAGTTCACAATTTCTTTCTGTTTCCTCTTCCATTCTCTTCCACTCGATCTTCTTAGCATTCTGCTGGCAGGTTTCTTACTTACGATTGGTGTTACATACTACTTATATCTGTCAAAAATAAAAAGCAAACACCACAATAAATGTGACCAGTGAGCTATTCAGAACACACCGACATCTTTGGGGTATAAAGTATTGACAATGGTTGGTTAGTAGGTTATCATTGTCAAACATTTATACTGATCTTTTAAATCTCATTAATGTTTACCACTGCAATTGATCAACGACTTTGGCGTATGTGCATTCTATACAAACTGTTTCTATACTGTCAGTAAGTGACAAGCATTTTGAAAAGAGATGGTTAGTGGCTAGCAGTGGGATCCAGGAAGCAGATTTCGTCATTTTTAGGACTCATCATCTTGATGTAATCGGATATCAGAGTTGATGCTCACTCATGGACTCGGACCTAGTACCATTTGCTTCAAACAGGCCTCCATATAGCTAATGTTTCCCGAAGATAATGAAAGCTCTTCTTATTCACCACTTATTGTTGAATGTCAATAAAAATCCATTGTGTTACATATCACTCATCAGAATAACACCTAGAAATTGTGTTCCATAAGAATTTGTAAGTACTTTTATAGAGCCATCTTCTCATTAAAACCAGAAAAAAATATGAATCATACTTGTGCACTTAATTTTCATTGAGTTATATGCTACTGACTACAGCAATGTTACCGTTTATAATTAAGTGAAGTCAACTATGGAAATGTTGTGAAGGTATCATCTCAACTATGAAATAAAAATGTATTATATAGATTGATTATCAATGAGATACTCAATTAGATCTCATTATATTTACTACTCGATAGTTGATGATTGAATCAAGATGACGGAATCTCAGGTTCACAGACAAACCTATAAATACCCATTTTCGTTTGCATACACTAACGAAGCTTAGAAATAAAGCTACTTTTAAACTTCTTACCTATTGTATTTTGTTAAGAAATTGAAGTCTAAGGAGAAGTAAGGAATTGTTTGTCTCCGAATATTCAAGTACAATGAATTATTCAGGATTCAAAATTGACAGTATCTTAAACGAGGACAGCTAGTAAGTCTTACACTAGAATGGGTTGGTTATCTAACGAATTCTGGCTTACAATGATCATCTAACTATTCAATTCAATCATCTAAATTGTAAAATCTCTACAAACCCACTACCCCTAAATTCCCTAGTACGGCCAATAGTGGGGAGAGTACGCTCTCCCTCTCGAAATGCTGTCACATGGCCACGCCTATATAGCCTCTGACAGGGAAGTCTTACTCAATGCCTTCTCGCATCAGGGGTGTTGATCACAAAATTGAGAGGACGAAAGGCGAATGTCCTGTACTTTAACCAGGTTGGTGGACACGGAAAGTCCACCTAGGGGAGTTGAGAAACCTTGATTCCAAATCAATGGTGCACATGGGCTCCAGTATCCTATGGGAACAAATGGCATATGAATCAATCGTTGGTTACTGGCTACCATGAGAATGCATCTCCTCACGATGCTGTCTTGTGGATCAGATCTTTAAGTCAAGGCTCGGGGTGTGGTCCTCCTAATAAAACCACCTGTTTCGGTTTGGACACACGGGCAGTATCACAGCCCTCACACAAATCTTATTTGATTTGTATGGCGCATATATATATATATCTATATCTGGTGCCCCTTTTGTACCAACATTCATGTGTTTAAATAAAATAAATAAACAAATCCACTCCATGAATAAATCTGTCCTCATAAAAGTATTCTATTCAAATTTTAATATTTTCATTTTATCTACATCACAATTATACATACACATATATAATCCCATGTAAGGTCATACCATGTACTTTGATTGTTCTAAGATATATGTTAATTATTAATGATCTAACATACAATATTTATGCTTAATCTAGGTAGAACGATTTCCTTTGTATATATAATGTTAAGGTAATATAGGTCCAGTTTTATTTCAGGTCAGATGAGAGTATTACTATAAATAAAACATGTTAACAATTTGAAAGTATTTATAATGAATATAATATAAAGTATGTATTTTTCGTAATGTTATATATTGTGGTGTAGTCTACTTATATCCATATAAGTAGTATATAGTGATGGTCAGGCATAGAATGTATTTGGGCAGAAAACCGATAAGGAAAGAACTGAAATGAAGCGCACTTGGTGGGAAAGTGCATGAACAACGGAATTAGAGAAGATGAACTGATATTTACAGAAGGAACAATGAAGATTGAGACAATCGATTGTTATTTTGCAAATTAACTAGTTGTATGGTTATCGGATCTTAGAAATATGGTTTATAG